GAGATTGTTCGCCTTCATGGTGTGCCCGTATCTATCATTTCGGACCGGGGTACGCAGTTTACCTCGTGCTTCTGGAGAGCAGTTCAGCGAGAGTTGGGCACACGGGTCGAGTTGAGCACAACATTCCATCCCCAGACGGACGGTCAGTCAGAGCGGACTATTCAGATATTGGAGGACATGCTCCGAGCTTGTGTTATTCACTTTGGAGGTTCATGGGATCAGTTCTTGCCTTTAGCAGAGTTTGCCTACAACAACGGCTATCAGTCGAGTATCCAGATGGCTCCTTATGAGGCTTTATATGGTAGACGGTGTCGATCTCCGGTTGGATTGTTTGAGCCGGGAGAGGCTCGGTTGTTGGGTACGGATTTGGTTCAGGAGGCCTTGGACAAGGTCAGGATCATTCAGGATAGGCTTCGTACAGCTCAGTCCAAGCAGAAGAGCTACACAGATCGTAAGGTTCGAGATGTAGCTTTCATGGTTGGTGAGCGGGTATTGCTTCGAGTGTCGCCTATGAAAGGCGTGATGAGATTTGGGAAGAAGGGCAAGCTAAGCCTTAGGTTCATTGGTCCATTTGAGATTCTTGATCGAGTGGGAGAGGTGGCTTATAGACTTGCATTGCCGCCTAGCTTATCAACCGTACACCCAGTTTTTCATGTGTCCATGCTTCGGAGGTATCACCGCGATCCAGCCCACATGTTAGATTTCAGCACTGTCCAGTTGGACAAGGACTTATCTTATGAGGAGGAGCCGGTAGTTATTCTAGACCGGCAGGTTCGTCAGTTGAGGTCCAAGAGTTTTCCTTCTGTTCGTGTTCAGTGGAGAGGTCAGCCCCCTGAGGAATCGACCTGGGAGTCCGAGTCCGATATGCGAAGCCGTTATCCCCACTATTCCCCGACTCAGGTACTTCTTTCTTTTGTCCGTTCGAGGACGAACGGTTGTTTTAGAGGTGGAGAATGCGACGACCCAAAGGGTCATCACCTGTTTTTTTACTCATTCTGTGCTCCCGAGGCCTTGAAAACCTCATTTTTAGTCACCTAGATTTACGTGCGCAGTCCGGGCGCATAGCCGGAAAGCCTAAATGTGAAATTCTGTGATAAATGCTAAAACTTGGTATTAAAATGAATAAGTTTGGCTTTGGTCAACATTTTGGTTAAACGAACCCGGACCGGTGATTTGACGGTCCTGGAGGGTCCGCAGGAAAATATGGGACCTGGGCGTATGCCCGGAATCGAATTCCGAGGTCCCAAGCACGAGAAATGAATTTTTGAGAAAAATTGTTTTTCTGAAATTACTAAGGAAAATTGAAATGAAAATTGGTTAGAAAGTGTTGGTATCGGGACCGTATTTTCGTTCTGGCACCCGGTACAGGTCTTATATGTGGTTTAAGATATTTCTGTGAAGTTTGATTGAAATCGGACATCGTTTGACGTGTTTCGGACTTAAAACTCTAAATTGGAAAGTTTATGAAGTTTGAAGAAAAACTAGTGATTTTGAGGCTTGATTCATTGTTTTTGATGTTATTTTGGCGATTTGATCGCACGATTAAGTTCGTAGGATGTTGTTGACATAGTGTATGTGTTTGGTTAGGAGCCCCGGGGGCTCGGGTGTGTTTCGGAGGTGTTTCAGAGTGATTTGGGACTTAGGAAAGTTGCAGAAATTCCTCAGCTGTTGCAGACCCAGTTCCTTCTTTGCGTTCGCGACGCCTCCTTCGCGTTCGCGAAGCTCTGACTTTTCCCTTCATCGCGTTCGCGCTCCTGACTCGCGTTCGCGTAGAGTCATTTGACTCTGAAGACTTAGCCTTCATTTTCCTCATCACGTTCGCATTGATACTCTCGCGTTCGCGTAGTTTCTAGGGCCCTTCATCGCGTTCGCGTAAGGGTCCACGCGTTCGCGTAGACCAAGTACTGGACCCCCCCCCCCCCAATTTTTTCTTTTCGCGTTCGCACTCCTCCCATCGCGAACGCGATGGTCTAATAAGTTACCGTTCGCGAACGCAATCCCCTTTCCGCGAACGCGAAGGGCAATTTTTGCCCAGTTATATTTTAATTTCCAGAATCAGTGTATTGCGGGATTTTCATAAAAACACACGAGCTCCTTCTTCTCCAAGGTCTTTAGGCGTCCATTGAAGCTCCCTTTCACCAAAACTTCTTGGGTTAGTAAATCTTAACTCGTTTTCTTCATTTTCCATCAATATTTATTGAATTCCTAAGCCTAAAACATGTAATTTAGGGTAGAAATTGGGGGAAATGGGTAGAGTTAGGGCTTTTTGGATTTTCTTGATTTAGACCTCGTTTTGGGGTCGAATTTGAAAACAAATTATATATTCGGGATCGTGGGTGAATGGGGGATATGTGTTTGGCCGAACCTCGTGTTTTGACCAAGCGTGCCCGGGGTTTTGGGATTTTGGAAAGAAAGCTTGGAAATCTATAATTAGGCATTGGGTTTGATTTGTTTAGCATATATTGATACTATGAAGTCATTAATGTATAGATTTGATTGAGTTGGAGCCGAATTCGAGAGGGAAAGCGGTTGTTGTGGATTGATTTGGCCGTGGAAGTTGAGGTAAGTGTTTGGTCTAACCTTAGCTTGAGGGAATATGAGTTGAGTCTTATTTGATACTTGTTAATTGTCGAGTACGATGTATAGGCATGGTGATGAGTATCTATACATTGGTGTCTAGCATGACCGTGAGTCCTTATATTGCGAATATCCTGGCTTTGTTATAGCTTCCATACTTAATTGATGATTTCTATATGTTGTAAAGAGTATGTGAAAGGAAATTGTGATCGTTGAACTTCGTGGAGCGTTGGTTCGAGTTGAAATACAAATTGTGAAGGTATATGAGATATTTAAATCCTTGGAGCGTTGGCTCAAGTGACAATGTGAACTATGAGATGAAAGTGAAAGAAAGAGAAAGAGTTATTGGTTTATTCTCTTGCCGGGACGTTTTGTTGTTTTGTTGATTTTCTCCCTTGCCGGGACATGGAAAATTATTGATATTGTTTCCTTGCCGGGATTTAATTGTTTAATTGCATTCCCTTGCCGGGATTTCTATCACTATTTGTTTACTTTCTTGCCCCTTGATTGTGATTGTTGTTTGGGTGAGGAAGAGTGATAAAGCACGAAGGGTGATGCCGTGCGTTGTATGATATTTGTGGATCGGGTTGCGCACCGCAATAGTGTTAAATGATATGGATCGGGTTGCACGCCGCAACAATGATATTTGTAGATCGGCTTGCATGCCGCAACAATGCTAAATGATATGGATCGGGTTGCACGCCACAACAGTGTTGTTATATATTGGGATGGGGTTGCACGCCGCAACAATTATTTGATACAAGTGTGTTTATTTTGGATATTAGTTTCTTTGTTCGCCGTAAATTCTAAGCTGCCCTTAGACTGTTATTTTGGATTTATTGTTAATATTGGTATACCCCGACAACATGTTTCCCCCTCCCATCTTTACTTGTTTATTCCTGTTTTGTTTTTCCGCTTTATATTTTATAATTGTATAGGTTTAATTGGTAGTCCGGTCCTAGCCTCGTCACTACTTCGCCGAGGTTAGGCTAGGCACTTGCCAGCACATGGGGTCGGTTGTGCTGATACTACACTTTGTGCTATTTTGCACAGATCCAGGTTTTGGACAGCAGCAGCAGTAGCATGGGAGCAGGCCTTCAGTCCAGCGAGACACCGAGGTAGCCTTGCAGGCGTCCGCAGGCCCGGCGTCTCCCCTATCTTTTACATTAGACTGTTATCTCATTGTATCCGAGACAAACAGATATATTTCTTTCAGACATTGTATTTAGTATTCTTAGATGTTCGTGAGTATTGTGACACCATTCTTGGGTAGAGGCTTATGTTGAATTTTCCGCATTTCTATTCAGTTTTCTATAATTTAGGACTTCCGCTTATTATTTAATTTCGTTGCTTTTATATTATTGCTGATAATTGCTAAAAGAGGTAAATTGGTTAATGGTAAAGTAATAAATGTGTGGCTTGCCTAGCTCCCAATAGTAGGCACCATCACGATCCCGAGGGTTGAAAATCCGGGTCGTGATAATTTGCCACCTTGGCTAAGCTTGTGCCATGTGGCAAATCCTAAAAAGACTCTTATCCACTTAATACCATAATTATCTCAACCATTAACCAATTATCCACATAATTCAGAACTATCTTAAATTATTTAAAATACTACCCACTTTTAACATGCCTTATACACCTTACTATCATGGTCATATGGTACTTTGTATGGCACTAGCCCATAAATACCGAGTATTTTAGCTCAGGCCATATTTTATCCCAACATGTCAAACTTCAACAAAATTCATTTTCTTCGATTTGTTTACCCTATCACCTTCACGAATTTACTCATCACTTGTTTGAAATAGCATAATGCTTAAAAATCTCAAAATAATCCAATCCCCGAACTTACATCGATTAATTTATGACGAAACTTTACCATACAAAAATGCGGGATGTAACATTCATAATGCACATTTAGCCTTATATGTTCTGCAATTTCCTCATTGAAGGTTTGATCTAGCAGCTGATTATCCCATGTTTCACCTTACCGTAGTTCTGCCACACCCTGAAGATCTTCATTGATTGGAAAGTCTTCAGGTAATACGTGATATAGTGCACCCAATCCAGTCCAATTTTCATGCCAAATATTAGTTGTTCCACTCTTCAATTCCTATAGGATCTCATGTTCTACTTCTTCCCTAGCATTCAACATTTGTCTCCAAACATGGGAGCCCCGTCTAAACTGCACCACCGTTGGTAGCTCCTTCTTGCAATACTTATTCCACATAAAATTAGACCACAAAGATTTTTTGGTCCTAAACCTCCAACATAGTTTAGCAAACAATGCCCTCGACACATTATGTAAGGACCTAAAGCCTAGGCCCCCTTCCTTTTTTGGAAGGCAAAGATTTTGCCATGAGGCCCAATGTCTGCTTCTCCCTTCTTCCTTTGTGCTCCAAAAGAACCTAGCAAAAATCTTATGAAGATGCTCCAGGACATTTTTTTTGTGGGTGCAGGACTGATAACATGTGGACTGGCATACTTCGCAACACACTAGAAATGAGTGTTGCGTTTCCTCCAAATGATAGCAGCTTTCCTTTCCATGAATGCAATTTAGCCTTTACTTTCTTTATAAGATCCTCATAATATTCCTTCCTCCTTCTCGTGTAGAAAATAGGACACCCTAGATATGTGAAGGGGAATTTACCTCTTGTAAATTCTGTAATAACTCCAACCGCCTGACATAATCCATTAGGAACCTTTGAATATGTGTAGTATGAACTCTTATCTTTGTTGATCATCTGACCTGATATCTTCTTATAGTTCCCCAACACTGCCATAATCTTGCTCAAGGATGGAGGATAAGTAGAAGCAAAGATTATAGTATCATCAGCATATGCCAAGTGGTTCAAAGGATCCGACCACTTAGGCATTCCAAATCCCACAAATGACCTGTCTTCAAATAACTTATTCAAAGACCTGGATAGTACCTCAATTGACAAAATGAACAATGCTGGTTATGGAGGATACCCTTGCTTGACACCACTTGTAGACTTAAAGAACTCTGAGGACTGCCCATTCACCAATACCCGAGTACCCGTTATTTGACACCAAGTTCACCGTGTTGATGAAGTGCTCAGAAAATCCCATCTTCCTTAGTACATGCAATAAGTACTTCCATGAGACCCTATGATAGGCCTTAGCCATATCAAGTTTGATCACCACATTAGCTAGCTTTCCCCTTAACCCTATGTCAGTGATAATTTCTTGAGTCAATAAGATGTTCTCAAATATACTCCTACCCTTCACAAATCCGGATTGATTAGGAGATATTAGGGAAGGCAAAAAAATATCCAATCTATCATGTAACACCCTAGACAAGACCTTGTTAATGAAGTTGCTTAATCTAATAGGTCTTAAGTCAGAGAAGGTCTCAACTCTAGGTTTCTTAGGCAGGAACACTAGGTTGGTGCGAGTGATGGATTTAGGAAATGCAGCTCCTCCATAGAAGTGTAGCACCATGTTGTCTATATCAGCACCAATAACATCCCAGGTTGTTTGATAAAACAGGCCAGTGACCACTAGCACTCTCCCCACTAAGATCAAAAACTATTGTCCTTACCTCTTCAATTGTTGGCAATCTGCTAAGTTCCAAATTCTATTCCATAGTGACCACCGATGTTACATTATTGAGCAAGGAAAAGTTAGATGTATCGCCTTGATTTGTGAACTATTTTTGATAGAAGTCAAGTGCAGCTATAGCCAATTGCTCCTAGTCTTCAATCCATACCCCACTTCCACTTTTGATCATCTTCAGTTGCAATTTCTTTCTTTTTCCATTGACATGATTGTGAAAGAAACTTGCATTCCTATCTCTTTCAGCAAACCAAGTCATCTCAGCTTTTTGCTTCCAATATTGTTCCTCAATACTCAAGTATTTCTTCAATTCAGATTGAGCCTTTTGAAGCACAATCATGTTCTCAATTGTAGGCTCTTTTTCAAACAACATCTCTTTCACCCTAGCAATGTCTTCCAAAATAGCCAACTGCTTGAAGATATCACCAAATGTTTCCCTACTCCATTTTGACAGTGCTGCCTTCACCCTCTTGAGCCTCTGCTTGAACATCAAAAAAGGATCCCCTATGAAATCAACTTCCCAATTCTGCCTCACCACATCTATAAATGTAGCATGTTTAGTCCAAAAGATCAAGAACCTGAAAGTCTTGACAAAAATGGTGGTCTGCTCCCCACATGTCATTAACAATGGTGCATGATCTGATCCAGTTCTGATTAGATGTTCAACTTCAATCTTTGGCAACATGCTGTGAAATGGCAAATTCAAAAAGATCCTATCCAATCTTTTACGCAGCATTGGATCTCCCATTCCACCATGTAAATGGACTTCCTTTGTATCCTTGCTCAAACAAACTACAAGAGTTTACACAAAATGCAAAATCCTCATATTCAGGCAGGTGTACTGGTAGTCTTCCTATTTTCTCATCTTCATGTAATATCATATTGAAATCTCCTCCTACCAACCATGGCAATTTCATATCACTTGCTAAGTAATACAAGTGATCCCACAATTCTAACCTCTCCATTGCTGAACATTTTGCATAAACAAATGTCATCATCATGTGCTGCCCCACGTCATGGTGAAGCACTCTCACAGTCACCTGTTTCTCGGTATCCTCCACTAATTCCCATTCCACCACTACATCAAAGAACAACCAAATATGCCCATTAATATTTTCATAAGCCGTCTCCGTATTCAACTTTCTTCTATATCTATCAATGAGTCTCTTCTTTTGAAAAGGCTCTATCAATGCAACTACACAAAAGTTATGCTCCCTATTCATGTTGATCACCCTAGGAAAGGCCTGATGTGTATTCACAGACCTTATGTTCATATTAATGTTTTGATTATCATTTAGATAGAGAAGCTGCCCTCCTGGGCATAATTCTTGAAGGTTGTTGTGATCATCCTCCATAGGATTTTGTCTCATTAATTCTTCATCAATTGGTGCCACATTGTGTGTAACTAAATCATGTAAATGTTGTAGTGGAGTCTTCAGCGGAACATTAAGATGTAACTGCATAATTTGATCGTTGCCATATTCCATAGGCACTTCCTCTATTTCCCCAGATCCTCTTAGAACAATTGCCTGCTCATCATTATTTTCATTGCTATTCTCTGACCCTACTGTATCATCCCTAACCTTCACTTATCATCAAGTTTATTCTCCAATGCATACACCGGAACACCATCTACAGATGCCAAAATCTTGCTAGTTGCACTGGGGATAGGGTTAACTATCGTTGCTTCATCAGGTGACCCTGGCGCCAGGCCTGGCGTCGCCAGCCTATTGCCAGGTGGGCTGTTGTCCCTCACTTTGTCTGCTATTGTCTTTGTCGTGCCTAGTTGATCAACCTCCACCTCAATTGCATCACTCCCTACAACCTTTGTTGAGTTTATCTCATCAAGGTTCTCAAGCTGCCCAGAATCTGCAAATGTTTGAGATGGAATATCTTGACATGATTGGTTTATAGTCACATTGAGTTGCCTTAGCTCCTCTTTGCTAGTTCCAAACCTTCTATGAACCCAGTCGATTGTGGATTCCTTATTAGCCTTTTCATCAGAACTTTGATCACTATGAACAATATGATTAGCCTTAGCTAAGTTCCCATTATGCTGCTCTTCCAACACTTTCTCAACTGCTTCCTTCTTTACACGCTTAAGTTCTTGTTGATTACGTTCTCCCGCTGGTTTAGTATTCTTATGCTTCCCAACCCTAACCCCAGAAGCCTTAGGATTAGGGCTTGTCACTCCGGTATTACCTTCTTTTTCCATCTCATGGCCCTTCTTTGATTGCTTTTCCCCACCATTGCTATGATCCTCACCTTTGCCTTCAGTAATTTGTAGAGTAGGTTGATGAACTTCCTCAACCTCTAGTGCATTAAACTTGTTCTTGGTTGCTACTTCCTCATGTTTGGCATTCCCTTTACCCTTGTCAGCTTCCTTATCTTGTTTGTTGTCAACAATGTGACCCCGATTATCATGTTGGTATTTGTTCTTCCTTGCTTGTATCCATTCCTGCTTGGCATGACTAGTAGCAGGCTTACCAACCACCTTTCCACTTGACAGAACCTTTGTTGAATATGCAGCTGTACCAATTACTTCAATACTCACCACAACTGTCTTCTCTTTGCTTTGATCCTCTACATCTTCATCAAATCTCTTGTGTAATTCAGGATGAATTACCCAGCATTCTGCCTCACTATGCCCTTGTTTCTTGCAAGGCTTGCAATATTTAGGCATATAATCATACTTAATCCTAATCCATTTAAACTCTTCTGGCCCAGATTCTTCAGCTTCTTCAACAATCTTAATACGTTTAGGGAAATTACCTAGCATATTCACTTCCACCTTTACCTTAGCACAACAAGGTCTAGTCCCATTTTGAGTTTCTAGGTCTACATGTAATGGATTACTAACTGCACGAGCTAATGAAAATAGACATTCCTTACCAAAGAAATTTGGAGGAAGTTTTTGAAAACTAATCCACGCTATGGCAATTGGAGTCTCTTCATTAGGTGTCCAACATGGATTCCATTTTGTACAACACATCTGCCACATGTTTGATTGAGCCTTTAAATAAAAAGGTGGCTTTGAGAAAAGATCAACATAATCCTCCAATAAAGACAGCCTAATTAACACATGATTGTCTTCAATCAAGCCAACTGAACAATGACCTTAATCTCACATTGAATTGGAATCACTTTACGTAATTCACCTATAACAGGCTTCCCATATGAAAATTTCCCAAGAACTGCAAGTTGATCTTCCACTTCACAACTGGTTCTCCATGAAGGAACTCAACTAGTTTCAATGGTAACATAGCTAGGATTTGCATGGGCGTATTTATGACGGCAGTGTTTAATAAACTCGCATAGGTTTTAGGTGGATTAGGGTTTGTATTAGGGTTTGTAGAGGTTAGAAATGGCTGTGAGCACGTGATTTTTGCCCTAAGCAAATTAATTTCAAGAGTTTCAAATAATTGATTTCATTATTATTTTACAATTTTTTGTGAATTTTTGTTAAATTCTTGTGTTAACTGNAAATTATTCTTGAACTTTAATGTATTTTACACTATTATCCACTTACTCGGATCTTTTCCATCATTTAAATCTATTAGTAATATTTTTGACTACTATTTAATAATTTAATTTATTTATTTTTAATAAATTTATAAATATAAGTATCCTCGCACTATCTCTATTTTCCTCTTTATACATAATTTTTTTACCTATACTCAAAATAAACATAATTTCAACTTTCTATTCAATTAAAAATTCAAACTGAAGTATGATACTTTTCTTATATTTGATAGTTCTCAATCGGGAACATTTATATCATATTTTATTTTAAAATATAACTTTGAATTAGTCTAAAAAATAATATATAAGTTCTTTTATAATGTTTCAAATCTATTGAATTTTCTTATAATTATTTTTGTATTACGTGTATTTATTTTGTAATCTATTGATACAAAATTGGCTTTTAAGAACTTTCTAATCTCAAATTCAAATAGTCTTTCCCTTTCATTTCTAATAGTAAATTTTTAATAATTTAAGTAATTTTGCTATTTTTTAATCCAATATATAGTCTTATTACGTTATGTTACTTTTCATTAACTTGTATCTTTATTTAATATCATTATCAATTAATATTCTTCAATATAATATAGATAAATATATAATTTTCTTAATCATAAAATAAATATATATAGTTTGTTTTAAAAATATTGCTTGAAAATTTTAAATTATTTAGTTTATAATAATATTTTTAAGTATTGTATATTTACTTTATTTTATTCTCTAAACGTATGATTATAAATATCCTTACATTATCTCTAATTTATTTTTATTATTCAATATTTTTAGTTTTTGATTTTATCTATTAGACTTGAGTTTCGTGGACTTATCCATATTATGACTTTTCTTATCCCAATATAAAAAACTTTCTCATATCAAATTTAAATTAGTTTTTACCCTTTTTCTCTATGATAAAAAAATCTTAATTTTTGTTTTTTCTCTATTTATTATTTATTCTTGATATTATAATATTCAATTCCTAATATTATTGCACTGTCATGTGGATTTTTATTAGCTTGTTAGAATTTAGTATCTGTTTCTACCACACTCATTCAAATATAATATAGATAAATATTAAATAACTTTCTCATCTCAAATTCAAATAATTTTTATCATTCTATTTTCTAAATTGGACCGTATTTTCAAAATTTATGCTATGCTTTCAAACTTAAACTGACTGCACTCAATTCAAATATTAATCATCCTGTGAGCACGTGATTTTTGCCCTAAGCAAATTAATTTCAAGAGTTTCAAATAATTGATTTCTTTATTATTTTACAATTTTTTGTGAATTTTTGTTAAATTCTTGTGTTAACTGGTTGCATTTTTATGAAAATACAAAATATGCACTTGCATTTAGGAATTTA